GCTTGGAATAATTGAAAAACAATTTTTAGGTTTAATATTACATAACCACTTATGTAACAATATATATAACCAAGGCAGAGCAAGATGGCGGAGAGGATGCATCCCTGGGTCAACTCTCCTGGTGGTTTCAGGTGAGAGTGGGGGGGCTGGATCTTTTCCTGTGTGAAGTGCTGGCATGGACAAGCAGCGCAGAGTGTGCAGCAAGGAGGTGAATTGCTGGATTGAAAGTCTAGCCCAGAAGTACGGTGTCTGCCAGAAAAAACTCAAGGCAGCAGCTGAAACGGCGCCAGCTGCGACCTACAGTGCCAGGTCTGTGGCTGGTGCCCTGAGAGGCAGAAACCAATCCCTCCCCCCACCCCACGAAGGACTTGTGTGCCCAATTTGTGGGAAGTTTCGGTGTTTCGCAGAGAGTGTAGTGAAGCATGGATTCCTGAGTGGAATTTGGCAGCCAGAAAGGGGAGCCATTTGGACCCAGTTTGGGGCATCAGGGATCAAGGCAATTGGACAGAAACATGAGGGGAAGGGACTCTGCTTAGGAACTGATCCATCCTGTAATTTTGGAAGTCTGTGTGGAGCTGCACTGACTCAGCGACCCACAGGGGGAATTGGTTCCCTTCCTACAAACACTGAAAAGTCTTTTGTGCACGCCATGTGAGCAGGAACTAGAGGTAACCAGCCCCTCTTCCTGGCAGAAATGGACGAATGCAGAGGGTGCAAAAAGCACCCAGCTCTTTCCCCATGGACCACAACAATTTCCTGTTGTGGGGGAAACTAGGAGTTGAGTGGAAAATCTGTTGGAGTGAGGACTCATGTGCCAAGTTTGGAGGACAGATAGGGGTGGGTGGCCAGCCAGGAACTAGTTATTGTAAAACTCCAAAAATGGCGTCTCCATAACACCTCTATCAGAAGCATGGAGACCTCAATCTGATGTGCAGCCAGCCATCAGCATCTGAAGCTAATCCACGATGCCCAACAGTTTGCAGGAACTGCTGTAGGGAGAATCTGTGCAACCTGCCAGCAAAGACCCCCCTTTCTTTTCTTTTCTTTATTTTTTTTGTTTTAGCCTGGGGACCACTCGCAGTGCCACCTACTGTCTAGACTGTATATTGCAGCATAATTATATTTCCATTAAACTGGAACCCCACCGCATTTATAAAGGGGTTTGTTTGTATATATTCAAAAGAACAGTATGTTTCTTAGTGGTGCCCTTCTTTTCCTTCATTTTTTCCTTTTTTTTTGTTTGTTTTGCTTTTTGTTTTTTTCTATCATTTTATGACCACCATTTTTGTGGGTTTTTTAATTATTACTATTTTTTTTTTGTTTGCTTGTCTTTTGTTTTGTTTTCTTTTTTGTCTGTTTGTTTACTTGTTTCTGATTGTCCGGACATCAGTGTGTTTGTCTGTCTGGTAGCATTTTAGTCTGTTTATTTGTTTGCTTGGTTTCAATGTATTTTGTACTTTGCTCAATCCTCGGGTTGGCTATATTCCCTAACTCCAATTTTCACATTCAATAAGAATATCGAAAAACAGAGGACGAGAGCTGACTGGAGCTAGTTTTCAACATAAACTCCAGTTCAGGGGGAGAGCTTAATCTCACCTGCAGCCAGCCATCTGGCATCTGAAGCTAGGCCAGGATGCCTTACACTTTACAGGAACTGTTGTAGGGAGAATCTGTGCAACCTGCCAGCAAAGACCCAGCAAAGACCCCCCTTTGTTTTTTTTTGTTTTTTGTTTTTTTGGGGTTTTAGCCTGGGAACCACTCACAGCACCACCTGCTGTCTAGAAAGTACATTGCAGCATAACTATTCCCATTAAACTGGAACCCCACCACATTTATAAAGGGGTTTGTTTGTATATATTCAAAAGAACAGTATTTTTCTTAGTGGTGCCCTCTTTTTCTTTTCTTTTCTTATTTTTTTTTAATTTTCTTTCTTCTTTGTTTGTTTTGCTTTTTGTTTTCTCTATCATTTTATGACCACCATTTTTGTGGTTATCTTTTATTACTATCTTTCTTTCTTTCTTTTTTTTTTTTTTGTCTGTTTGTTGGTTGGTTTGTCTTTTGTTTTGTTCCCTTTTTTGTCTGTTTGTTTACATGTTTCTCAGTGTCTGGGCATTGGTGTGCTTGTGTGTCTGGTAGCATTTTAGTCTGTTTATTTGTCCACTTGATTTCATTGTGTTTTATACTTTGCTAAATCCTCGGGTTGGCTATATTCCCTAACTCCAATTTTCATATTCAATAAGAATATGGAGGAACAGGGGATAAGAGCTGACTGGAGCTAGCTTTCAACATAAACTCCAGTTCAGGGGGAGAGACAACTGCCAGAAGAACCCAGTGAAGCTGAAGGTGGGGAGATGAGCTGAGAGAAGAGATAGATAAATGCACTTCTTTCCCACTGAGGCAAAACAAAACTTCAAGAAAACAAATTCCAGGTTTAGATTGGGCCCAAGCGGAATATTCTCCAGCTCCCATTGAGTGCCTGAGGCAGATAGGCCTCAACTATCTCTACTGGCTGGCAACAAAGAGTGGTCACTGAGTGGAGAAGGCATTGACATTATTTGGACTCTGGCAGGCACAAAACCCTGACACACACATTGACTTTACTTGGACTCTGGCAGGCTCAAAACCCCAATTCACTCGCCTATTGGACAGGACTGGGTTAAAGAGTCTGGGTTAACAGAGACTGGTAGTGGGGTTACCAGAGACTGAGGTTACCAGGGTCCGGTGGCAAAGGGTGAGTAAGGAGGGGAAAGAGACATCAGCCTCCTTACTCCAAATCATCTACTGAATGGGCCTTTCTGACTCCTCAGAGCATCAGAGAGAGCCACACTTGTACCACCAGTAGACTCCTATTACCTAGTTGCTGGAGACCTTGTGATCTTTCCAACCAGATAGTGGGTACTGATCAGGTCAAGAGATTTGAATCTCTTGATTGGGCAAATTAACTGGTGGTTGAGGGAGAATCTCTGATGCTCTCTGGATTTTCTCAGGCCTAAATTGTCTTCAGGTGGAACATTCTCCAGCTGTCACTGAGTGCCTGAGACCATCAGGCCTCAGCTCCCTTTGCTGGTGGGGCTCAAAGAGCAGTAACCGAGTGGAGCTGGCATTGACTCTACTTCAATTCTGGCAAACACAAAGCCCTGCCACTTTTGCTTATTGGGCAATTGGGTCACAGCCCTGTGGGGTATCCAGTGACCGGGTGTGACGAAGGTGCAAGGTGGGGAAGGAGGCATCAACCTTCCTAGAATAATTTATTTGCTGGGTAGGTCTTTCTGACTCCACAGAGCACCAGAGTGAGTCATACCTGAGCTGCCAGAAGACCCCTGCTGTACAGTTGCCAGAGACCTCTTGAACTTCCCTACTTGAGACTAGTGTTGACTGGGACACTTGATTTAGATCTCTTGAACTGGGCCAATCACCTGAGAACTATCTAAAGTGTTAACCTGGGGGTTTGGCTGAGGGAAGGTATGGTATTCCTTTCCCAACTGTCGCCTGTGAGGGGAGGGGTGACTTAATCACTGATATTTCTCCACAGCCAAGATCTTAACACAGAATAATTGATTTTCTAAGGTAAAACAGAGACCAGCCAAAAACAAGATAGAGACATGCAGGCCCCCAGGCTCTCAGACCGTAGCATTATATGCATCCTTGGCAAAGCTCTAGGGGAAAAGGTACAGA